CTTTTTATTTTTTTATTTACGGCATGGATTAACTCACTAGAACCAGATACTTTACCTCACGATATGGCCATGTCAGCTGCCCGTTGCAGGCTTTGGCATTAAGAAAGAGAGAGGCCGGCAGCGCGCGGGAACGCCACGTGGCCGGCAGCGCGCGCCCGCGTCTCGGCGAGCGGCCATCGATGACGCAAACTGCCGTGGACGGACCAATTCCGCGCCTCCACGTGGTGGGCACGATCCCGGACCCGTGAAGAAGCTTCGGGCCCGAGTGCGCTCATCCAGTACGTACTGCTGGCAGGCGGGCCCCGGGAACCTTCGGGAGTGGCGCTTGCTTGCTTTGCTGCCGCCCCGCGCTTCCAGAAGAATCTGGTCCCGCTGGCCTGTGGGCCCGGCTGTGCAGAATTGCAGATGCGCTTTTCGGTCAGGGTCCACGACGGTCGTCATGCCTGTCTGGTTCGATTTTTTCCGTATTCGGCGGCCCAACGTGATTTTCTTCTGAAATGAGGAAAGGGAAGGCCGCGACGTGTACGTATTTGAAAAATTCCTCCGGTGGCTACTGCGCGTGCTACTACTAATACGAATCGTATTGCGTATATACGCGTGTAAATTTGTCAAATCTAGTCATCTAGACTTCTTCTTCAAGCATAATTCAGGGAAACTTATGCGCTCCTGCCTAGGGATCTTTTCTTACTCCTCCTCTCAAGATTCAAACAGAAGATGAAAATTCAGAGAGACAGATTGATTAGTAGGAAGAGGGAATAATCTTCAAACCCCTAAGTTATCATGTTTGTTGGCTGAGCTTATAATATATTTAATCTGCTTGCAGCGGACCTTACAGCATGGCTAATAATATAATCCACTGTTAGCTACATATACATTTATTTATTTCTCAATTATCAACCTGTTCATATAATAGTTGGCTACTAGAACATACTTCATCATTAATACATAAATCCACTTTCTCCTCATAAAGTTTTTGAGCTCCCGCGTCAGCTGGATGTAAAGTTACAGCTCACTTCTCTTCTCCATCCTTCATTTCAACGTAAAAGCTTACTTATTATAGCTCTAATTATACTTGCTCTTAGAGTAGCACAAAGCTTCCTAGGTAAATATCTCGGACCACCTCTCCACAATAGGAAACTTAAAAGGATTCATGTTCAGTCGTTGATCGATGCTACCCGAGGAAAGGCAAACCTCTCTCATCGTTTGGCAGAGAGACCTTGGTTAAAGTTGTCCTCACCTCCCAACCAATTTATCATTTGACATTATTCCCTTTGAAAAAATGGCTTCCTTTGAAAAATTATACGGTGGATCGTAAATTCCTCAACAATATTTTCTCTCACACAAAACCAGCCAGCAAGATTCTTCACGATCCAAAGAACGAACAAGCTCTTTCAGGAGAGAATTGGCTTTCCTTCCTCTTGAAGGTAGAGAACCCGGAAGATGCTTCGGAAGAGTTTGCCTAGCAAAATGGATAATTATGACTATATAGATCAAAAGAAAAGGCACACTATGCCAGAAATCCTAATAGAATAGCGGACGGCCCTAAATTTCATCACAGACATATGGAACTCTCCCATCTGATGTGATGATGTGTTTCATCATAGACTGGTAATAACTGGTCCATGATGTCACAGTTCATCACATACTCCAACACTTATACGGTTGTTTCACCCGTCTGTGATGATACAACGAATACCCGACTCTATCTGATGTAGTCTAATAAAAGACTACTCGAGAAGTGAGATGTGTAGTTATTTTGGGACGGAAGGAGCACACGTGTATTTGATCTTTAAATTTAATCTATATCAATATCGATGCCTGGTATCTAATATTAAAGGACCAAAACAAACAAGGCCAATATCTATAAGATCATATTTCCTGTGTTACCCAAATATGTTTTATAATGAATACAATAACACCAACTCCAATCTATATAATTATTTAGTCATTAGTCAAAGTCGAAAATATTCAACTTTAAGAGGAAGTTTAATTTGCTGAGAAGGTAGCAGTAGGTAACCAAAGTCATGAACCTTGGGATCGCAAGTGAGGCCTCGCTTATACTGAAATTTGGCTTATGCTGATGTTGATGCTGAAATATTATGGGAGAAAAACACTGTTTCATGGCTGAAAAATAGTGCTGAATAAACTCAAGCGAATAGAGCGAAACTATCAGCTTTTTTCTTAAAGGTACTCCGTACAAATAAGATGCATGGAAATTGACTTATAAACCGTACTTTTTGAGCCAACAAATAGTATTTTTCTCTCACAACAAATCAGTCAACGGTACTTTTAATCATGACTTATCAACGAAGCGAATGACAAATACCCCTATGCTGCTTTATCTGAACTGCAGCAGAAACTGTCGCGAACCTGCTGCGAACCTCTCGAAGAAGGCGCGAAAGTTTTCCAAAATTACGTCGACTTGGGCGTCAAATCTGGAGTGGAGTTGAAAATTTCCATGCGATCGACAAGAGAGAGCGGTGTGTATCCGGAGCAAGTAGCTGATTTCGGTCAAGGGTGTTCGGCTGGAGGAATTCTGGACGAATTTGGATGGTTTGAAGATATGCTGAAAAAATTTGTAAGAGAAAAATACTGTTTTGAATGAAAAAAAGCGAATCAAACTGAGTTTAAGAACACGCAAGTAGGGCCATCTTGTTTGTTGTCTCTGAATCAGAGGGAACCGCATACTAGTACTTGTACGTACATACGCATATACTAGTAGCAGCAAGTACTTTTAGGTGGTGTTCTCGTTTTTTTACGAGTCAAACACTTTTAACTTTGATTAAATTATACAAAAAAATAAATATTTATAATACATTATTAATATCATTAAATAGATCATCGAATTTATTTTTATAATAAACTTATTTGAGGTACAAAGAATGCTAATATTATCTACAAGTATAGTCAAACTTAAAAAAGTTTGACCAGCATAAATATCATAACGATATTTATTTTTGGAACGGATGGAGTAAAGTATATACATGCAATTAGTCCCAAAAAGATGGAGAGGATGTAGTTTCTTCACAGCTTCAAAGCTCTCTATATATAGGCGAACTTATCAGCCGTACCATTTCAGCGAAATGACAATGTTTTTCTCTCACAACAAATTAGCATCAGCATCAACCGTTTTTACAGTCAGTCGAACAAGGCCATAGTCTGTTTTCTTCTCCAAACGTCGACGTCGTACGAGAGGCGTTGCCTACCTGCATGTATAGTTAGGCATGCATTAATGAGCGACAACATTATCGCCGCACGCTCTTAGACCCCGTTTGGCACGGTATTTCCAACGGCTCCTAAAGTTGTTTGGAGCCGTTTTGTTCAAATGGAGTAAAACCAAAATCAAATAGCTTCATTCGAGGAGCCCCTAAATCGTGCTCTCACAAAAGATACGTGGAGGATGTGTGGAGCCAAAAATAATGGCTTCACTCGGCATCACCTCGTCCTAGTGGGCTCTACACCGGGTCTATGTATGAGAGCATATTTTAAAGAACTCTACATATAGAGTTATTTTGTCAAATGATTTATCAGAAAAGCTCTAACTTCACCGATGGAGTTGTTCATAAAGCTGAGAAAAAAACGGCTTCACCGATGAAGTGGAGCCATATCAAATGAGGCCTTACAAAATGCTCTAATAAGCAGTGCCACAGGGTATGCTGCGACACCGGCCAGCATAGTAGTAAGTACATCTGTACATATACCTAATATATACAATGAATACATCTGTATTTGTAAAAAGAAAAAAAAAACTTACCCAGATCACGCTCACGCCAACACGAGACACGGGAGGCCCACGTGACGCGGCCCATACGGAAGTCCAGATGGCTACGTACACCACGACGTTCCCAGTTTTTTCTAATCTATAATCCAAAAAATCTCGATCGGAGTCGGAGGGAGAGAACACACGGAAGCTCTTTGGTTTATTCTGCTCTTCTCATTTGTGTGCTAGACAAGTTTCACGCGTACAGCCTACGGTGGAGTGGCATTTAATCCCACCTAGTGCTCTTCGTGACTTGATCGAGCGAGAATGTAACCATGCTATATGTCATTAATAGAAGCTCCTGATTCTAAAAAAAAGAGTATAGACAATATTGTTGATTTCTCAAAGAGGCACAAAATATATGATATGGTTCATGAGCTTTTCAAATTGGTATTGCTTCTATCTATGTCAACGACAAGTGTTGAAAGGGGTATTTTTCCGCAATAGTTTTTTTGATAATTGTCTAGTCACTTTCACCGAGCGAGATATTTTCTTTGAAGTTGATAAAGATAATATAATCAAGACATTCATGTCCATTCGAAAGCGTCGAATAAAACAGTCAGAAAAATAGCGTTGTAGGTCTCTGGTACTTTTATGGCTATATTTAAATCATCAGTATGCCTTTTGAACTATTTATATTATATTGGATTAAGTCCATTTTTGATCCCTCAACTATTGTGTTGATCTAATTTTAATCCTCAACTACAAAACCGTCTAGTACCGGTACCCTAACTGTCAAAATCGTTCACTTTTAGCACCTGAGCGGGGCAAGGCTATTTTGACCGACGTTAAGCGGTTTTGACCACGCCTCCCTCTCCACGCTGCACAGCCCGACAAACCGATGTTGAGGCCTCTGTTCTACCCTGCCAGTTGCTCGAAACCGGGAAGTGCATAAGTAAAGGTTGTAGTTCTAAGTGCAGGCTTAGGGCTAGTAACTTGAACGACTAGAGTGCCACAGTAAAATTTAAGAAACACGCATGCCAAAAATCTTGCAACACTCTGTTTCGGCTGGTGTCCGTGGTCACCGTGTCCGGTCGTTGAGGGCTGAGCGCCTGCTCGCCCTGCACCGTGCTGACTCGCCGCGGCTGGATGAGGTCCTCCTCTCTGACGCTGGCGCCCTCGTGCCCCGCGGCGTCGCCGGGGCCGGTACGACCGGGAGTTCGCGTCCATCCTCACTCGCGACGCGTTGGCCTTCGTGGCCGGCCTGCAGCGCGAGTTTCGCGGCGCCGTCCGCTACGCCATGGAGCAACGGTGGGAGGCCCAGCGGCGGTACGACGCCGGAGAGCTGCCGTGGTTCGACCCGGCCATGAGGCTCGTGCGCGACGGGGACTGGACGTGCGCGCCCGTGCCGCCGGCCGTGGCCGACCGCACCGTGGAGATCACGGGCCCCGCCGAGCCGCGGAAGACGGTCATCAACGCGCTCAACTCCGACGCCAAGATCTTCATGGTAAGCATACACACGCGTGCAAACTTGGGTCTGGCTTGCGTACGTACGGGTGAATGGATGGATGGATGAAGCACATGTGATGTGTCGACCGTTCTGAGCTGAGACGACGAGAAAAAAACGTGGCAGGCTGACTTTGAGGACGCGCTGTCGCCGACGTGGGAGAACCTAATGCACGGGCAGGTCAACCTGCGGGACGCCGTGGCTGGCACCATCAGCTTCCACGACGCGGCGCGCGGGCAGGAGTACAAGCTCAACGACTGAACCTCCAAGCTCTTCGTCCGCCCCCGCGGCTGGCACCTCCCCGAGGTGCACATCCTCATCTCTGTACGCCGGTGTGCTCCAGCGCTGGTCGCCGATAGCCACGTGCACTAGCTGTGCGCGGACGGAAGGTGACGGAGCTGGCCATGGCGCTGCTAGCATCTGGCGAAGCTGTGCGCGTGCGCGGACGGGCGCGCGGCGGTTTCCTACTGGCGAGCTGCAAGGTGGTGGCGCAGCGGCCGGAGTTCTGCGCGATACCACCGTGCGTGTGCCGGAGGTGTGCCTCCCGGGCGCCGACATCGCAGCCGCCATCCCCGGCGCAGGGCGTGTCCGAGACGACTGCGCCAGACGCAGATGCGTAGCTGCAGCACCTCCTGCTGCGCCAGCTCGTCATTGAGCTCCTGGGGACGAGCGCCGTCTCCGACGGCCCTCCCCGGTGACCCTCCCCACGCCGTCTCCGGCGACCCACCTCGTGCTCGCGCCCGCTCCCTTCTTCCACCTCGTGCTCGCGTGCGGGCGAATTCATGGCGGCGCCCGTAGCATCAGCGGAATCGAGATGGACCGAGCCAGAGCCAATCCTCGGCCCCGCCGTTGCCGCTGCTACTCCCGCTGGTGCCCGCGGCCTCCTGGTGGCTACCGGCGGGCTGGAGCGGCGCAGGGCGTGGCATGCGCGTCGCGGAGGAGCGTTCGCACGTGCTAGTTGAGGTGCTCGCCGAGGTGCTTGCCGTGCTCGTTGGGGTGCCCACCGAGGTGCTCGCCGTGATCGTTGGGGGTGCCCACTGAGGAGCTCGCCGTGCTCGTTGGGGTGCCCGCCGAGGTGCTCGCCCTGATCGTTGGGGTGCCCGCTGAGGTGCTCGCTGACGTCCTGCTGGCCCATGCGGGGCCTCCTGGCATGGATGTCGCATCGCTGCCGAAGATGAAGCCGTGCTGCCGAGCTCGCCGAGGTGCCGTGCTGCTGTGCTCGCCGTGCTCAGCAGTTCCTCCTCCCAGCGCAGCCGAAGGCTGGGCTCGCATGGCAGTTCCTCCTCCCAACTGCAGTGAGCTCGCACGGCGGGGCCGGACGGCATGGCCAGCGGGAAGAGCTCCCTCTGCCGCCGTGCTCGCTGGGGTGCTGCACACCCACCGCGCGAGGGAGTAGCGCCCGCCCTGCCGCGCGCAGAGAGAGGAGGCGTCGGGGGAGTGGCCGTGAGGATGGAGAGGGAGGGGTTGAGTCGATGACGCGTGGGCCCCACAGGTCATTGAGATGGTCAAAACCGCACCACATTGGACAAAACTGCCTCACCCGCGCCCAGGTGCTCAAAGTGAACGGTTTTGACAGTTGAGGTACTAGCATTAGACGGTTTTATAGTTGAGGGTCAAAATTAGACGAACCCAATAGTTGAGAGGCCAAAAGTGGACTTAATCCTATTCTATTTCATGGATGGTTTCAACTTAATCCTTGAATTTAAACCTTATCACGTTACTTAGTACATGTATACCGAATCACGTTGTAAAATTTTACAATTGTTACCGAATTACAAAAATAAATTTACCGAATTATATATATATATTTTTGGTGGCGTACCCTAAGGTAAAATTCTAGATCCACCACTGCTAATAATTATATTTCCCACCGAACTTTTTTTTTTCTTTTTTCATGCCCTCGTGCATGGCCGGCAATGGAAAATTCTACGGTTCTTCCTAGTTTCCATATTATGCGCTTCTTTTGTGCAGCATGACCATAATTAATACGTAATGGAAATGGACCATTGTGCCCTGCTTGTGGACGACGATGTGCACTGAGCTAGTAGAGTCTGCACGTGAGCAGAAAATGTATGTAAGAACCTTTTTCTCATGTGTGGACTAGAGTGTATACATGAGTAGATAAGTTTAAACTTAAAAGTCAGCTAGATAGGCATCTGCTGAATATGTCTACGTCTGCCGCGAAGTGGCAAGGAATTCCTGTGGTGGGCACGGCGGGCCGGGGCACGCCTTGACCATTCATGTGGCTACGTACGTGCTTCCATCTTCGTCTCCGGCTAGTCCAGCAAGTTTTCTAGCTGAAACCAACTGGAGCATATATAAGGGAGTCACTGTATTTGATATTACTAACATTTTTTAACAACTTTTGAGTGACAATCTTATCCAAACATCTAGTACAATTAAAAGAATAACTCAGTGCCGTAGTTAGGATTTATATTAGTAGGGTCAGAGTGATCCATCTTAGATGTGAAGCCAAATTACAGGATGATCCATATATGCATTTTTTTACAATTTTAGGCAACTTATTATCTACTATAATTTAACCTTGAATCAAATTATTTCAGAGTGGTTCATGGACCCCAGTACCATCTAGCTAGTTTCCTAGCTCCGCCTATGCGACTCACAAGTGACAATTTTATGGTTTGTTTTTTCTATAGCCAAATATGACAAAATCGCATATTATCCAAACAACACACATAAAATAAAAATCTGGAGAAGTGCATATATAATCGAGGAGAATTCAAAACCTGGTAGATGATCAGCCACACAAATTAAACTTGGTAGAGCCACACAACACAGTTGACCACCTTTGCTTTGCATGCATATAAGTAGGTAAATTTCGCAGATGGAGAGCCTGCCGCAGCTGCGGGTAGGGTAACTGAAATTTTGCAGAAATTATACTGCTGTTATACTGCTGTACTCCTACGTGCTGAGACAGAGAGAGACAGACTACGCGTACTTGGCCTGCTGGCTAGATGTGCCTGCCTAGCTAGCAAGAGGCGCCAAGCCACGAACGCCCGTGCTGGAGACTCTGAAGAAAACGAGCGCAAATAACAAGTCGCCGGGCGTCGCGTCGCGTCGTTGATGGGTACAAAAATACTGTATAATAATGCAGGGCGACTGGACGAGTGAGCTGCGATGGATCGACCAGATTTTCCGTCCACGCAATTTAGTCCCAAGTTAGTCTCTATAATATTTCCTTCTACTTTTTGTCACTCTAATTTTTCCACTAGCTACCTCACCATCATCACTATAATGCGGGCGTGTTTGGATGGTGGCTTGGACGACGAGCCAAGCTAGCCAGCTGCGGCCAGGCAGCAATCTGGACCCAGGCGACGAAATTGATCGCCTGATCAATTTGCTGCAGTTTTGCTAGCAGGGCCGTCCCAACAAATTGTAGGGCCCTTGGGCAAGCAAGACAATGAAGTCCCGGCAATCTAATATTTTAATATCACGAGATTGAACTATATAGTACTACTGGTAATAAGAGTTAACTCGCAAAATATAGTTCGTTAAAAAATGACAATACATCAAAGAAGTTTAAAGAACGGTGAAATCACAGTAACATGAAATGACTTAAAATTTAAAACAAATTATGGGCAGCCTGATGCCTGTGGCATGTCCATAAGTTCCTTGATGAATTAAATAATTAAACTAATAGATCAACAATTCGCTGCACTATCGCTTGATGCCTGTATGTATTGGATTGCAAGGTAAAAAAGAAACTGAAGTTTTCAGATCGAACAAACAATAAATACTGATGAACTGAAACCATCATCACTTACCACAGAGAGTCAGGGACAGGGATGAAGGGACTGCAGCACAGCTGGGTTAGTGGGCGCCTGCTGGGATCACGGGATTCCAGATTACGGAAATCGGGATTCCAGGATTTAGGAACGCCGGAACAGCCGCCGCGGCACAACAGCACGCATGCTTTGACGCGGAGTCACGAATAGGAAAGGGTTGCCGCGCAGAGCCACAGACTGAATTGGACGTGACCGTATGGAGCCAAATGCATGTACTACATATGCGTATACTCATGGGCCCCTAGTGCCATGGGCCCCTGGGCGTCGCACTGCCTGCCCTCCCCCATGGGACGGGCCTGTTTGCTAGGATAGGGTTCTAAGCAGACACGCCCTGCATGCATGGGAACCGCAGAAAGGAGCGACGAGATTCAACATCTCCCTATTTAGAACGAGTTGGAAGTCAAAGAAGCGCATGTGGTGCAGTGGCTCTTTTATTAAACAGGTTTCACAAATCGACTCTAGGCCGTAAAAAATTACGCTAGTTATATATTTTAGATAAAATTTCAAACATAAAAGTAGTGTTGTTTTGAGACAGAGTCATAGAGAGGGTATTCTTGAGGCTGTATCTGCACCGAATCGAGGACAGGATCTTAATTATGAGAAGGGTACAGTACCTATCTACAGATTCATCGATCTACTCTTTTTTTTCCTTGATGAATGACCAGAAGCATTTGTTTACGCGTCTATTATTGATAAGAGGAATAGATCAGTTTTAGAAGCATATGGACAGACCGCCAAATGGGACAAAAAAGGAAAGTTAAAAATGACTACTCGATCGCTATGTGTCCGTCAGGCACCGCAATGCTTGGCATGCAGGAATTTTTCAGTAACTTGCGTGTGCGCTGCAGTATAGCTCTCCGTAGATGCTGCGAGCGGAGACTACTGCGCCATGCATCTCTCTATCCTGAAAGTTTTCCAGGAATTGCACATCAACACCTCACAGGTTCCTCCTGTCTCATCTGCGTGCTAGCTTTACCTCTGGTCTAACTCCAGGATATAGATGTATATAGGTATACATATATATATTCTTCAATGATCAATTCATCCGGCGATGCTAGCTAGCTCTAGCAGCTTAAATTTCTCCTCTTTTTCCACAAGCTGATGGAGCTAGCTCCTCGATCGATGACCATGCATGTGTCCGTAGCTAGCTAGCTGCAGCAAGCTCTCTAGCTACCCTCGAACGGAAGTTACATGCATAGTCTAGTCGTTGTTGAGCGATCGAGAAAAAATCGTTGCATATATATGGTCGATAGATGGCTGCTTGGAAAAGTATGTATGTATATATATATATAGTCGTCGATGCAGCAGCCACCAGCTGTGTCAGCGTTATTGAGAACTCCATCGATATATATCCTAAAAAATGTTATTATGACTTTTCAAGAAGTCAATAAATCTTAATATAAGCTTGGCCAAATATATATTTTATGATTCATAACAAGTGACATTAGATGAAAT